TCTAGCTAAGATTCTGTGCAGTTCGGAAAACTCCCAAATCCCACTCCTGGCTGGCCCCGCCCACCCCACTTCGCCCCTCCCAGGAGTCCCCATGCAGCTCGTTTTGGATGCAGGTAAGTGCAGGGTGCGCACGGAGGTTCAGGGAGGGCGAAAAATGGGCCTACCGGAAGATCAGGAAGGTCGGAAACAGGCCTGTTTCTGGCCTCCAGAGGACCTCTGGAGCCTGGGGAGGCAGATTTCGCTCTTCTGGAGGCTTGAGAAAAGCCTCTGGAGCCCGGGGAGGGCAAAAATGCTCCCCCCCACCATGGTGCAGGAGGCTGACTAGGCCACGCCCACCCAGCAACTGGGCAGAGCACCCCTTGCTAAAATTTTTGAAGCCCACCCCTGAATTTGAGGTAGCAGATATTCCATAGAAAGTTGTTTGTGCTACAAGAGTCCTTTTCTAGGTCAGGTTAGGCTGATATACACCAGGAACATGGACTTCTTGGAGACAGCACCTGTTTTATGGAACTCTTTCCCAAATGATAGTCAGAATGTCTCTTTCAGTTGCAGGGTTTCAAAAGGTTGAATATTAGTCTATTTCCAGATAGCTTTTAAGTGATGGATTTCCTGCTGCTCGTTTATTGCTATGGCTTTGGCAATGTTTTCTGGTGGCTGGATTTAAATGCAGTTTGACTTTTTGAACTTTTTTAAAAATGTGATCATTTGTTACCATGTTATGATTTCCTTTTTATTTTTCTATTTCTTTGCAGCCTTGAACAAGTCATCTTATAAATATTCAAAGTGAATATGTTGGCAGTTTGGAAGACCAAGTATCCGTTGGGGAGAGGGGAAAGAGAGAGGGGGGGGAAGAGGGAGGGAGGGAGAGAGAGAAGGGAGAGAGAGAGAGAGAGAGGGAGAGAGAGAATAATCTGGGAACAAACTATGAATTTGACAAAGGGACAACTTGAAAATTAAGTTTTATTGTGACCAAAAATCAGTATATAACATTACAATAAGAAAGTAAACATATGATGAAGAGGACGAAACATAAAAAACCATTTAATAATAATGCATGTATTAAGTTTATCCATTTTCTCTTTATTCAGAATTAGTTTGCCTATTATATATTCTTGTAGCTTTGATTTGTTATTATTTTGGTCTGTGGCTGTTTTAACTATCGTAAATACTGACCAGTTTTGTATGTTACCCCTCTTCATCATATTATCTTTTTATAAAAAAAACATTTAATATCATAGTGTTCTATGCAGCGGTGAAATCCAAATTTTTTTACCACCGGTTCTGTGGGCATGGCTTGGTGGGCGTGGTGTGGCTTGGTGGGCTTGGCAGGGGAAGGATACTGCAACATCCCCATTCCCTCCCTACTCCAGGGGAAGGATATTGCAAAATCTCCATTCCCACCCCACTCTGGGGCCAGCCAGAGGTGATATTTGCCAGTTCTCCAAACTACTCAAAATTTCCATTACCGGTTCTCCAGAACCTGTCAGAACCTGCTGGATTTCACCCCTGGTTCTATGCTGGTATTTAGCCATAATATAAGATTCAAGTTTCAACTCTTAGTTGAAGCAAACTGCCAGATGCAGGCTGGGATTTTATGACATGCTTGTCTAAAATAGAGTAGAATTCATTATTGGCCAAGTGTGATTGGATACACAAGAAATGTGTCTTTGGTGCATAAACTCTCATGTACATAAAAGCTATAAGTGAGAAATCATGAGCATAGTCATCATAAAAATATTTTCATCATAAAATAGAGTTGGATTTATTAGTGGTTTAGTGTACTATGGGAAATCTGGTCATTGTTTTACCATGTTTTGGGAATCAGTCAGCTAGTTTAGCCATGAATGTTTGAATGAAAGAAGTATAATAGGAATACGGTATTTATGCTTCATTAAGTCAGGTTTAGCACATTATGTGAAATCCATTCCACATATTAAGGGTTTTCCCGCTTTGCTGCTCTTCCATAATCATTCTACTTCCCCATTTGCATTCTTTTGCTAATCCAGAAGTATGATGCCTGCTTTCTCCTCCAAAGTCTTGGTAGTAACACTAACAGAATTGGAAGGGACCTTGGAGGTCATCTAGTCCAACCCTCTGCTGACGCAGGAGACCTGTACTAGGGATTCGAACTGCCAAACTGCCAACCTTTCTGATTGACAAGCTCAGTGTCTTAGCCACTGAGCCACCTAGTAGAGTAAAGGATAGATGGGTGGAAGGGAAATTAATAGTGATCTGTTTATGCAGGGATGCACATCACTTTATTAATGGTAGAAAGAAAATCAGAAAACCAAATTGCACTGTTTTATATTGTTGCCTACTTTGATCAGGATCATCAAGCCCTGATAAGAGTAGATGTTGAATCCTCCCCCAAAAAAGGTTGTGTTCTATTTTGGTCTCAAGTGAACAATACTGTTGGTGGATTCCTCAACCATTTTGTTAAAACAGTGCCTCAAGGTCCCTCAAGGATTCCAGAGGCACCATTAGAAAATAATATATATCACATACAGCCTAAAAGTCCCCCTTCCTTCCTTCCTTCCTTCCTTCCTTCCTTCCTTCCTTCCTTCCTTCCTTCCTTCCTTCCTTCCTTCCTTCCTTCCTTCCTTTTCTCTCTCTCTCTCTCTCTCTCTCTCTCTCTCTGTGTGTGTGTGTGTGTATGTCTGTCTCTGTCTGTTCTCTCTCTCTCTCTCTCTCTCTGTGTGTCTGTTCTCTCTGTCTCTCTCTGTGTCTGTTCTCACTCTCTCTCTCTGTGTGTGTGTCTGTTCTCTCTCTCTCTCTCTGTGTGTGTGTGTGTGTGTCTGTTCTCTCTCTCTCTCTCTGTGTGTCTGTTCTCTCTCTCTCTCTCTCTCTCTCTCTGTGTGTGTGTGTGTGTCTGTTTTTTTTCTCTCTCTCTGTGTGTGTGTGTGTGTGTGTGTGTGTGTGTCTCTTCTCTCTCTCTCTCTCTCTCTCTCTCTCTCTCTCTCTGTGTGTGTGTGTGTGTGTGTGGTGTGTATGTGTGTGTGTGTGTGTCTGTGTGTTTCTGTATAGTATACACATCAAGGCTCCTGAACCAGTGCTATGTGAAGACATTTCTGCATTCATGTGGCCAGCATAATGTCATAGAGAGCTGTTCCCAAAGAGGTACCTATTAATCTACTTGCATTTGCGTACTTTCGAACTGCTACGTGGGCAGGAACTGGGGCAAAGACGGGAGATCACCCCATCATCTGGTGCTTGGGTTTCAAACCTGGACTGACAAGTTCAGCATCTTAACCACTGAGCCACCATGTCACCCTTTATATTTATCTATCTGTCTATCTGCCTGCCTGCTTGTCTATCATCTATCTATCTATCTATCTATCTATCTATCTATCTATCTATCTATCTATCTATCTATCTATCTATCATCTCCCTGAACAGTGTGTGTGTGTGTGTGTGTGTGTGTGTGTGTGTGTGTGTGTGTGTGTATGTGTGTATTTTTTGTTCTGGAAGTTTATTGTGTTTTGATTTTTAGTTTCTTATTTTTATGCTTCTACAAATTGCCCAACTGCTTTGTGAATTGAGTGGATATATATATAGGACTAGTTGTGAGAAGGCATGGAAGAGTTCCAAGTGAAATACAACATCATCTGCATCCAGAATAAAAATGAATGAGCTGGGTGATTTAACAACAAATGGAATCAACTTAGCTAGTCAAAAAAGAAAGTGCAGAAGGAAACCAGAAATGAGAGATTGTTTAGAAAAGAATTGAGATAAAGTCTTACACTGCAAACAAAATTTTGGGCTATGGCTCTTGAAACACTGTAATAAATATTCTAAGCATTGAAAATCCCTTTGCTCTATTCCGTATCATAATTTTCCACTTAGTGGATTTTGTGATTTCCTAAGTACGATCAGCTAAGTGTGAAAACTGGCTACTCTCCTTCCAGAGAATAAATTATTCATTACAGACCTGGATGCAAACACTAACCTATATAATAATTTGATTCTCTGTTTGCACACTGTCAACAGAATCAACTTTCTCTCCCTACTCTGCGGAAAACCTGAGGTTACTTTTAATCAGATCCTGATATTGTGGAAATATCCTCCTCACTCCATTTCAATGAGATTAACCACAATTTCCTGCTGATGAGTACCGTTCCCCCCCCAAAAGACAATTGTATTCATGTGGAATAGCTAGAAAGTTTGTCTAACCACCTATGTGCCTGGAAAATATTTGTGCATCAATGACATTAATAATGCAGATCACACTTTTACTGTAGATGGTAATTTGCAACGCTCCTTAGACTTCAGCACTCTAATGGGGTTCATGATTAATCATTCCCCCCCCCCCCCCCCCAAGCTGGGGAATCTAAGCTTGAGAAATGGAGCCAGCCAGGGTGAAACTCTGAATACTCTTATATTTGTGTTCATTTACGAACACACAACCTACCAAGAACAGAATTCTTTATTGTCCAAGTGTGATTGGACACACCAGGAATTTGTTTCCGGTGCATAAGCTCACAAGGGTACATATAAACAGGGCACGCCATAGGTCACAGATCATCATCAAGTGGCGGGGCGTACAGTAATTTTCTGCTTTACGGTGAATCTTCCCACATCTCATAACCCCAAGTCATACATTTCAGGAGCCTTGGTGGTGCAGCGGACTAAAGTGCTGTTAAGTAGCACTTAGCTGCCAGCTGCCTGCAATTACTGCGAGTTCAAATCTCCCCAGGCTCAAGGTTGACTCAGCCTTTCCATCCTTCCGAGGTAGGTAAAACGAGGACCTGGATTGTGGGGGCAATAAGCTGACTTTGTATAAAAAAGAACACCGCTTGGGGGGGCCCAAAACCCCTACTAAGAGGTATATACAGAAGTATGAAGGCTATTGCCTAACGCATTGTAAGCCGCCCTGAGTCTCCGGAGAAAGGGCGGCATATAAACCGAACCAATAAATCGAACCAATAAATAAATTTCCAAGCCAGCCTGCAGGTATACAAGCAGGAGATAGTGGTGGTGGTGGGGGGGAAATATGTACATACCTACACAGATAACATCCACACAGTATGTTTTCTACAATGCCTTTGGATTCCAATGAGCCTTTTTTGAAGGCCACTTTTCCTGCTCTCTCCGGCAGGAAGGGGCAGCTGGAAGACGGCGGAGTGTGGCTTTAAGGAGGCGAGCGAAATAAGAAATGAGGCTCACGTTTGATAGGTGACATCACTAGGTTTGAGCTCGATAGTCGGTATTCTCCGGCTGGGTCGGTTCCCAGCCAAGGCTGCGGGAGGCGCGTTTGGGAGGAGACCAAGCTTCCCAGGTGGGCAGCCCAGACCCGGCCTTCCCTTTTCCTGCGGCCGATTAAAGCCCAGTTTTTTTAAAAACCGCGGGTCCCCCCCCCCACCATGCCTTTCCCGAGGTGGCCAGGCTCACTCCAGCCGCCTCCGCTCTCCGGGCGACGCGGGTGAGCGAGCTCCCCCCCTCCCCACTCTTAGAAACCCGCGGGGAAAAGGGGTGGGGAGAAAAAATAAAATAAAATAAAAGGATGCCTGGGGAAAAAGCTCCAGCCCAGCAACCGATCGGAGCGCGTCTCCTCGCCTGCAGCGCCTAAAGGCTCGCTCAGGCCTCGGGGAAAGGGCAGCGCTGCGGAGCTTCGGCCCGGGAGTGGTGGTGGTGGTGGTGGTGGTGGTGGGGCGGGAGGAAGCCCCCGAAACCGCGTTCCCCGGCCAGGCGTCTCTTCTTCTCCATCTTCCTCCGGGATGCTCGGCGGATGCTCGAGGAGGGCGGTGGGGGGGCTTCTCCGCCTCCTTTCCTTTTGAGCGCGTTAAAAAACCCCGCTTTGGGTACCGCCGGAGAGCAAACCATGCCCCAGCGGCCCCTTGAGTGTGCGTGTGTGTGTATGTGTAGAGATACACGACGTCGCTCGGCCAATCGTAGCTCCTACTAGCCTTGGCGAGCTCGGGCTCCGCAGAAAGCTGCAGGCGCGGCGGGTTTGCCTGAGTGTGTGTGTGTGTGTGTGTGTGTGTGTGTGTGTATGCATGCCTAGAGATATTAAACCCTCATCATCCTTATCATCCTCCTCAAGGAGGGGGCCGGGAGGGCGATTTTCCCGGAGAGGAGGAGGAGGAGGAGGAAGAGGAAGAGGAGGAGGAGGAGGAGGAGGAGGAGGGGGAAGAGGAGGGGAAGCAGGCGCGCACCGAACACAAAAGATTCCGGGGTTGGGTCTGGCAGAAGGAAGCGGCGCTCTCCAAGCAGCTCAACCCCCAGCCCGCCCGGGTGGGCTGCTGCTCGCCTCCCCCCGCCCCCCCAGCCGCCTGCTCCTCTTGGGGAGGCTGTGGAAAGCGGGGCTGCGTCTTTCCGGCTCCCGACGCCCTGAGAAGCCAACCCCATCATCACCTGTCATCCGGCGGCTACTCTTCCCTGGCGTCGCCTTCCTCCCTGGCGAAGAGGCGAAGTCAAGCCTCCGGAGCGCCTTGAACTGGTCCAGGGAGAGTGGCGGCGGCGGCGGCGGCAGGGACTCGGGGAAGGCAACCAAGATGTCCCTGCGTTGCTCCAAAGGCTCGGGGCTCGGCGGGCGAGAAGCCTGCGGACCGAGTGGATCCCCGCGTTAGGGTCGCGGGGGCAGGAGGAGGTAGGAAGGGGGGTCTCGGTGTGGGTGTGTTCTTGAGCCTCTCATTGCGGGCGACCCTTGGCGGCTCCCCCCCCCCACCTTGCTTCCTCCGGGCATCCTGGCAAGCGAGCCACCATTTACCAACCATTATCGGGATTCTTGCAAAAAAATAAATAATAATATTTCGGATCGAAAAGAGAAAGAGAGAGGGAGAGAGAGAGAGAAAGAAAGGGGTGGGAACAGACGATCACCTTTTCCACCGCATCCTCTTCCAAGGACTGGACCTAAACCGTTGCCTGCCTGGAGGTGTTTTTAAAGGCCTTTCTTTCATTTGCTGGTTGGACCTTGATTTCCAAGACCTTGTGCTTCTGGAAACCGAGTCTCCTTAAACGCTTGGACAAGAAGGAGAGATCCGTTGCTGATCTGGTGGTTCCAAAGGTGGAATTTTTTTTTTTTGAAGGATTCGCACAAATGGACTGATCCCAATGCCCAGCCACGGAGAGGGCACACTTCTTTTATCACTTACCCTTGCCTTGTTGGGCACCTTGTTGATTTGAAGTGGAGCCTTTTCTTCGCCCCACCCTTGACAACCCTCTTACTCCAGGAGTGAATGAACTGTCCAAGGTTGTTTATTTCTGGACCCAAGTCTCCCCTTCTCCCCTCCATCCCCTCCAATCTGTGACTGATGACTTTGCCTTCGCTTTCCGTGTAATTGCTGATAGCAATTGGTGTCCTCTGATACCCGCCCCCCCCTGGAGCTGGGCTTTCTCTGTATGTGAAGATGCCCATGGTGTTTCTGTGAAGCTAAGGTATGGCTGCTGGAAGATTGCTACTTTATGCTGGCCTTTCTTTAGCTTTGTGTGCTCTGGGCATGCTAGCCGTGGCCATCTGCTCTGACCACTGGTATGAAACGGATGCCAGGAAACATCGGGAACGATGCAAAACCTTCACCACGCGGAGGAATGACCCTGGCTTCATTTATAACTCTAACAATAACCTGCCCCTCCGGGCCAGTAGGTCAAAGCTGGACCATTGGGAAGGGAAACTTCTCCTGGCAAGAAACAAGAGGCAACTCTTTGCCATGAGTGCCGTTGATGAGTGCAACAGGCAATATAATTCTACCAACATGGGACTTTGGAGGAAGTGCCATCGGCTGGGATTTGACCAAGAAGTGGAGGAACTCATTGCTAAAGGTAGGAGCTTCCTTTTAAAACTTACTTGGTTGAGCTACTTCCTACAAAGCAGTAGGATCATGGGATGCTCTTAAATGTGTGTTGCCTTGGAAGTAAACTCCTATTGAATGCAGTGGGCCAATTAATTCCAATTAAATAGATATGATGAAGCCATAGAAAAGCTACTTCTCCCAACTTGCTGCCCTTCAGAAGGTTTGGACATCAGTTCCTGTCATCCGTAGCCAAGATGGAAAAAGCTGGGTAGACATTATAGGAAGTGAAAGCCATTTCCTGTACAGGGTGATGGGTTATAGGAATTGGTCTGCTCCAAGAAGGTTATCGTGCCTAAAACCCATTTACCAGATTATCCCATAGGCTTAACAATCATAGGTGAGAGAGTTCTGTTTTACAGAATGCAGAAATGAGAAGTGCTGTGAATGTCATGTCAGTTTTATCAGGTTACCCAGTACCGTGGGTAAAATGAGCTGTTTTAAAAGCCAAAGTAGAGCAGAAAATTCACAGAATCCAACATCACCTATCAGAAGGCTAGATTGTTTCTAACTTAAGATTCATAGCTCTTTTAAAAAGAATAAAAAAGGAGAAATGGAAGAGAGTGAGTTTAGTGGTTACAGGTTATTTAAAAATGGACCCTGAATTTCCATTGGAAAAAATAATAATAATGCATTAAGGAAACTCTGAGATGGAATAATTTCATCCCTCTCCCAAAGAGCCATTCTCTCTTGATCAAAAGCAGCCATGTATTAATTCTTCCCTCACCCCCCACCCTATAAAGTATTTGGCTAAAAATGATGGTCAGCATATTTGTCTGTATTATTTCCTTTTTCTTTTTTAGAACAGGCAAAGTATAGATGATTCTTAATTATACTGGATGAATTATCTGGATGAAAGTTGCAGACAGATTGCTTCTGAATGATTCGTTGCTACATTTTAATTTTTATTGCTGTGCTACAGAAAAATACTCTCTAGTCAAATGTATTAAAAGGATCACTTTGGAGGGGTTCTGTTATAGAAACCTTAAGCAGTTACACCACTCTTTTTGTTTTTAATTTTTGTTTCTTCTTTGGTATAGATTCCAAGCTCCCTTGTGTGGATATATAATTGGTTCCATTTATTATAGATGAAGATTTCAAAGTTTGATGCATGAGATTAAACATCTTTACCAAAAAAAGCAATCCAGTCAAAAGCATGTTGCCTCTTCATTAGGAGTTCAGATACAACCTTGAGGTTTAATAGCCAGGCGGTGTGATGGACTAGCAGCTGTTTGGTGACTTCATGAAATGTATTCTTGGCTCTGTTCCATTTTGTAATGGGCGACTGTCCATAATCAAAAGCTGTTGTCACAGTTGGCACCATGGCTGGCTGGCTCAGCAGGGAAATCAAGGATTCTTCCAGGTCAGACCCTGAGTTTATTACAGTAGCACCAAAAGGAGCTGTGGGGATTTATCTTGGGTTAATTTCTTCTTTGACAAAGTAAATAATATAGGTAACAGTAGTCTGATGCTTTTAAACCAGAGGTGTCAAACTCAATTTCACTGAGGGCCACATCAGGGTTGTGTTTGACCTTGGGGGGCTGGGGTGGGTGTGGCGTGGCCAGCTCAACATCACTCGTGTCGGGGGCACCTGTGGTAGCCCAAGCACTCTGCCAGCGAGCTCCATTTTCGGCTGCGATGGCCTCCTGCACCTCCTGCCAGCGAAAACGGAGCTTGGGAGGGCCGCAGGCAGCCCTCCTGAGCTCTGTTTTCACTGGCAGACACACTGTGGGCCAGATCTAAGCACTTCGCTGTTTCCAGAGAGGCCCTGTGGGCCAGATCTAAGCACCCCATGGGCCGGATCTGGTTCCTGGGCCTTGAGTTTGACACCCCTGTTTTAAACCATGCTTAAATATTGACAGAATCTTTGCAATCCACATCAATGGGGAAAATGAGAATTTCAACTCAATAATATATTTCTTAGGTAGCTTCATGTAAACCAACATTTACGTGGCTCAATTGCCCATTAGCAAAACCCAAGTTGTAAAAAGGGCATGGCCATTCAGATGGAATAATAAACCATGATTAAACATCATAGAGTTAGTGTGAAACAAGGAAAATTTAGATACTGAACTGGAAAGGCTTGAAATGATGAATAGCTAAAGCCAGTTTTATGAATCTCTTTTTCCCTTGGAGTTGCTGCTTACCAGTTACATACTATGTTTAATTTGGTGAGTGCTTTGTTGTTTATATTGGATTATAGTTGCTGAATCAGATCTGGATAACTTAATGGGGAATCCTTGGTGCTCTCTGAGCCTGGTTTTATATGCTTGCAGACATTTCATTACAATACTAGGTAATACTTTCATCATCTGTCTGCAAGCTTAGAGATCACTGAAGATTCCAGTTCAACCCTGAACTACAGTATTCTCCCATTGGATAATTTAATATTAATTGTTAAGAAATGGAAGTTGAAAAATAGTAGATTGCCCAAGACCACTGTGCCTATTTAATGGGTTTTTATATGAGGAGAAATATATTGCGTAGAAGCTAGATTTAAATTCAACATTTTTATGGCTTTAATGGAGAAGCTATTGACAAGATTCATACTCAGTTACACTATTTATTATATGTTGAACCAAGCCTAAAATGAATTTAGGGACAAGTAATCTATTTTCTTACATAACTTGATACTGGACTTCTTTAAAACATCCTGCATGGATATCAGGTGGGTTTAATGATCTCTCACCTTGTGTGGTTGAAGAATGTAATTGTAGGAAATCCATAATTTATGGAAATGGGGAAAATTTTTTGTGAAGTATATGTTCAGGGATGCTAATTTTTCCACTATCCCAATATGCATAGTTTCATTCCACTTTCACTTTCCTCTGTAGTTTCAGTTTCACTATCTCAGCATGTCATCCCTTGGTTCCATTTAATAAATTTCAAGGAGCCAATAAAAAAAAGCAAACCACACTTAGATTAGGTACCACAGATGCCCAAAGGATACTAAAGGAACCCAACTATGAAAATATACTGTTTTAGTTTAGAAAACTGGCGGGGGAAATGTTTTTGCTTAACTTGCTATAATTAGTTTCATTTTGAAAAACCAAACAGATAGAGCAGTAGTTTTGTTCTGTAAATCAGTAGAACCTAATTTATGTCATTTTGTGTAAAAGTACTGCAACTATAGGAAAGGGGAAGAAAATTAATAGTGCCACTAAATTTTCCTAATTGGGGGAAAATTCTAATATTTTGTGTTTGTTTACTGTGGTAGGATAATCAGAATAGGATATTTAACATACTATATTACTTTCCCAGCAGTTTTGAGAGACAGCAGGTAGTAACTTCTCATACATGCCAATTCATAAACACTTTTCTCCATTGCAAATAGTTATTACATCTACTGTAGTCTTGAAATGATTGCTGTAACAAGATATAAAAAAAACTTACCCATTTTGCTTTGAATTTGAAATCATTATTAACTGTATATGTGCTCCATTTCAATCTAAGCTAGTTATTTGAATTTAGTATGAGTTCTTAATGGGATAAAAAGTACCAGCAGGGTTTGGCTGATCACCATTATATTTGATCCTTGCCAATCTTTTATACTTGATCTGGACAGAGTAAATAGATTTAGAAGGTGAATAATATTTCTGAGAGAGGGGAATTGTTAGCTACAGATCGGAGGCTAGAGTTTCCCAATGCAGGAATGACAATAATGTAAACAGGCAATTGTCACAGAACTGACTGTGGAAAACATAAGGCAAATATTCCATTATTTTGTGGGAAGTATGGGAAGAAAAGGTGTAGAATTAAATTCAAGAGGATATAAGTAGGCCCTGGCTTTATGTTAGATGCAATGTATTGTTAAAAAAATAACCCACTTCTATTCAGATGTCATAATAAATATTCAGTTTAGACTTTGCCATATCGTCAGTGGTGGGTTGCTCCTGGTTCTGTCCAGTAGTAAAAGTGGCAGGAGGCTCCGCCCACCCATCCAGATGTCATAATGGATGATTGGCGCATGCGCAGAAGTGCGTGCGCTCCGTTGCGAACTGGTAGTAAAGGTAAGTAGAACCCATCCCTGCATATCATGTAATGGGAAGCTTTAGCCAAATTCTTGGCCTAACATCTTAAAAGAGGCAAAAAGAAGACAATTCTTTAAGAAGTCATTATTGAATCCCAAATGATCCAACAGATATTCTCATGTCCTACTCTAAAGCAAGTCTTGTCTACATTAAGGCTAATGGGCGGGTCAAATGCCCTGATTATTCTTCTGAGGTGCTTTTACAATGAATTAAAACAACTATTGTTAAGTAATGAATTTGGAACAATCATGTAGCTCATGAGTGAGACAAGGATGCATTTTTCACCATATCTGTTTAATTCTTCTTCTTGCTTTCATGATTCCTGGCAACTGCCTGGACAAATCTCTGCCGTTTTCTTGACAAGACTTCAGAAGTATTTGCCATTGCCTTTGTCATGGTATGTGGGGAAGACCTTGAGAAACAGGGTGAAGAGGTGCTGCCTAGGGAATGGTCAGATCAGTGAGAGCTTAGTGTGGTAGCTGGATAGCGGGAAGGGCAAGAACCTCAAAAGGAACTCTCTCTAGGCTTTTTGGGCTATGAAGGAGATGGCAGGAGAACTGTACTTTCAGACTTGCAAGATTCTGTTAATGTAGTTTTACAACCTTATGCCACCAGACTTGAAATTTTGGGCTTAGAAAATTTAGAACTACGTCGCCTTCAGTATGGCCTAAGCATAGCTCATAAAATCATCTACTACAATGTCCTACCTGTCAATGACTACTTCAGCTTCAACCACGACAATACACAAGCACACAATAGATACAAATTTAAAGTGAACCGCTCCAAACTCGATTGCTGAAAATATGACTTCAGCAACAGAGTGGTCAATGCCTGGAATGCACTAGCTGACTCTGTGGTTTCATCCCCAAACCCCCAAAATTTTAACCTTAGACTGGCTACTGTTGATCTCACCCCTTTCCTAAGAAGTCTGTAAGGGGCATGCATAAGAGCACCAGCGTGCCTACCATCCCTGTCCTAATGTTCCCTTTAATTGTATTCATTTTATGTATTCAATTCATGCTTATACTTATATATATTATCTAATACATACTCGGTTAATAAAATAAATAAATAAATAAATAGAGCTGAGGTGGCGCAGTGGTTAGAATGCAGTACTGCAGCTACTTCAGCTGACTGCTAGTTCAGCAGATCAGCGGATCAAATCTCATGGGCTCAAGGTTGACTCAGCCTTCCATCCTTCTGAGGTGGGTAAAATGAGGATCCAGATTGTTGGGGGCAATATGCTATATGACAAACAAACAAACAAACAAACAAACAAACAAACAAACAAACAAACAAACAAACAAACCAAACAGAATTATCTGGAATTAGTTGTGTTTCTTGTCTGGTCTACCTGCTAAGGATGACAGCTGCCTTCTTCCTAGGGCTGAGAGAGTGTGACTGGCCCAAGGTTACCCAAATGACTTCTTACCTAAGGCAGTATTAGAACTCCCAATTTCCCAATTTCTAGCCTGATGCCTTAACCATGAGACCAAACTGACTCTTGTCCCAAAGGTGCTTTTCAAAAGGCAACTGGAACTTCCTTTGTTTTTCCTTTCAAGGAAAAACAAAGGAAGTTCCAGTTGCCTTTTGAAAAGCACCTCAGGGACAACCGTGACCTGGATGATTGAGATTCTCTATAGACATCTCTGTTTAATTTACAACAGATATACTGTATTATAAGAGTGGCCAGACTGGAAGAGATGAGAGGAATCAGAATGAGAGACTGAAACACTTCACAATTTGAAATGCGCAGATAAATACTGCTTTGATAATCAAGAGAATGAAGCAGATGGTGGACTATGGGAAGCTTAAGGGGAGTAGAAAGAGAAAGTGAGGTATATGGATAGGGTCAAAATGGGGGTGTTTTTTGCTTTTTATATTTCACTTGAACACATAACAATGAAGAGAAGCCTATCACTTCTCTGGGGAATTCATTCCAATATTGAAGTGATATTATTGTTCAGAGGTTGCCCCTAACACCTATCTGTAAATCAAACCCATTATTTTGTGTTCTGACCTTTCAAATGACAGAGAAGGGGTTGACCTTTTCTGTGGCATCTTTTCATGTTTTTGAAGGGTTCATCAAAGTCACACTCAAACTTCTCAAGGATTTCCAGATTCTTATAATAAGACTTCGCTTCTAGTCCCTGATCATCCTTGTTGCCCCTAGTCTGTTCCAGTTTTTATTCATTTATTTTTATTTATTTAGTTTGTCAAACATGTACAAGATAACAGGTATAAGTATAAACATGAATATGAACACAGGAAATAAATGAATGGGGACAGTAGAACAGGGACGGTAGGAATTGTTGGTGGACTTATGCATGCCCCTGACAGACCTCTTAGGAATGGGGTGAGGGCAACAGTAGACAGTCTAAGATTATGGGGGTTTGGGGATGCAACAACAGAGTCAGGTAGTGCATTCCAGGCATTGATCACTCTGTTGCTGAAGTTGTATTTTCTACAATCGAGTTTGGAGCGGTTTACCTTGACTTTGTATCTATTGTGTGCTCGTGGATTGTTGCGGTTGAAGCTGAAGTAGCCATTGAGAGGTAGGACGTTGTAGCAGATAATTTTGTATAGTACACTTAGATCAGACATTAGTTTGTCTGACTACATCTTAAATTGTGTCCGGAAGTAAAACGTAAAGTCTCCTTTAAGTCAAGCTTGACTCCTGGTGGTTTTATGGATATATCTATCCATATACCTGTGTTTATAATTGCAGGAGTTTGAACAGTTTAAAATAGTTAACTTGTTCCAGTGATCTCTGACACATTCAGCTTGTTCCTCCATGCTGGAGAATTCAGGGACTTTTGCTCCGAATAGATATTCAGAGTATTACCCCCTGGATATCTTTTGAGAGATATATTACTTGTGTTGTCAAATCATATCAACTAATTTGAAGTTCTTTTCATATTTTTGATCTTCACAGCTGAACAGTCTGATTGCTCTTTCTTATGATGTTGCTTGGAGCTGCAGTTCTTGACACCCTAAATATGTGCCATGCCATCTCTTCAGTCTGACAGTTTTTGCAACCTTCTTTGGGGTCTGTCTTTGGTATCTAATGCGGAAGGTTGTCATGTATGATAGCCTGTACATGACCTAAGCATGAGAGAAGTCATAGAAATTCAAGGGCACATATAAATGAAAGCCATCTGATGAATCCGCAGAGAGAGAGAGAAGGAGGGAGGGAGGGAGGGAGGGAGGGAGGGAGAGAGAGAGAGAGAGAGAGAGAGAGAGAACAAACTAGATGGTTGTCTTTTCTTTGACGTGAAGGGAGGCGGTTTAGAGACACAATAAGTGCCATTGTTTATGGTAGATAGTGTTATCACCTGTAATTAGGCAGGTTAGAATTCCATTAATAGACATGAATGTAGAGGTCTTGGCATTGGCATAATAAGGTAATCCATAGTACTATCAGACAATACGTTCCAGTTGTAAATGTTATTGTATAACTTACATCTCCAAACCTTTTGGTTCCTCAGTTAAAGTGGGCATTTTTGCCACAACTGCAGACAAAATATTTATAACCCTATGCAGAGTTTCTTCTTGGACTTTATTCATCAGATGTTGTGATATAGCTAACAACTCCAAGAACATGATGTGATTGAATGAGGCATACTTTCATTGATAAAATCTTGACTCGGAAGAAACAATTTTTAAATTCACTGGGATGAACCTCTATATACCATAAATATTGTTAAGATTGCAACCTCTGAGTACTATTTTTGCAAATTCTTTATATATCTTTACTGTTTAACTTCATGTGCTACATTCTTTTTTAATTCACTGCAATAATTAGCCATGGGCAAAAGACCAATAAAATGTCTAGATTATACCATACTAACCTCCAAATTATTTCCTGTTCTGACAATTTAGGCATGAATAAAGAACGTTCTTTGTCCTGAAACTGATTTTCTACAAATATTTATTGTCTAAAGAATTCTATGCCTCCCTTCAGCATAGCCCAGGGCAGCTTACATTAAAATATAAAACACAGTAAACCAGAACTAATATCATAAAACAATAGGGACAACCTTTACAAAATTCTGTACAATTCAGCAGAGTAAAGTGCCCCACAGTGAACTTTACACCAAAAGATCTTCTATGCTAAAATAGTAGAAGATAACTTAGAAGACATTTTATAAACGATGTGCCGGAATCAAGAAAGTTTCTTCCCTGGTTGCCATCTACCTGATTACAAATGTTAGAATTCAGACAATGCTAAAGCTGATCATCAATATTAGAAAAATTCTGGTGATCAAAGGTCTATATTAATATATACCTAATATTTAACTAGGGATGCGGTGGCTCAGTGGCTAAGACACTGAGCTTGTCAATCAAAAAGTTGGCAGTTCAGCGGTTCGAATCCCTAGTGCTGTATAACGGGGTGAGCTCCCGTTACTTGTCCCAGCTTCTGCCAACCTAGCAGTTCGAAAGCACGTAAAAAATGCAAGTAGAAAAATAGGGACCATCTTTGGTGGGAAGGTAACAGCGTTCTCTGCGCCTTTGGCATTTAGTCATGCCGGCCACATGACCACGGAGACATCTTTGGACAGCGCTGGCTCTTCGGCTTTGAAACGGAGGTGAGCACCGCGCCCTAGAGTCGGGAATGACTAGCACATATGCGTGAGGGGAACCTTTACCTTAATACTTAACCACAGACAGAGAATGATTTGAGTTCCCCCAAAGGCCAGGAAATCATGCTGACGATATCTTCCTTAGCTACGTCTTGTATAGCAAGGCTGCATCTAATTTACATCCGTAAAACAGGTTACAATATCTTG